CAAGGAACAAAATTCCAACTTGCTCATCGCCTTTCTATCCTTCAACCTTATTATGATAAGTGGAAGCTTGGTGTTGAACTCATATGCTTCCACAAGGAGCATAGCAATAGCACCATGCCCACCTCACTTATCGTGTATAACATCCCTTTCACTCTATCCCCAAAGGCTAAATACCTAGGAATCCTATTTGATCAGAAAATGATATTCTACCATCACGTTTCCCATGCCTTGGCTCGCACCTTCAGTGCGCAGCAAGAACTCTTTCCTCTCATCGGTCCCAATTCATCCTTATCACCCGATAACAAACTCCCCATTTACAAGCAGGTCCTGGGACCTATGATAACATATGGGGCCCATATTCTCCAGAACTCAAAGGAACCGCCTCCAGCGGTTCCAGAACCGCATTCTGACAACCTCAATGTTGACACACATGAAATAGGGATCTATTATAAATTGGGAAATAAAGATCTACTACAGTTAGGCTTATCCTGACTTTTCTGATTGGCCTCAATCAGGCAAATAAGGTGTAACCATCTTGATACGTAATGATAAGCTAACCTAAGAATACATACAACTGACAAGTTGAACTCAGTCAATATCATACAAGAGACATAAAATATAAACATAAATCAGATTCTTGTAAGAAAAAGCTCACTATAATTCAAAATATACTTATAACATAAATAAGTTCATAAAATGCAATCCTTAATACATAATTAGTTAACAATAAACATAAGTGAATCATAATAGCATCATAAGAAATCATAAGTTCATAAAACAAAATCCATACCTAGGACATAAGTTAATGATAAACATAAATCAATCATAAACATAAGTGAATCAATAGCATAAGAAATCATAAGTTCATAAAACGAAATCCATAAGACATAAATTAATTACTTATAATCATAATCATAAACATAAGTTAGGTAATCATAACTAGTTACATAAGCATAAGGGTTCCACTCTAATTTCATAATCCGTATTTGTTTAAATAAAGGTAACTCCATGATGAGTAGCATTTATCAAAATCAGATAAATATGTCTAGGTATTATTAATTTTTTTTTACTATTATTCACTTTTTTGCTGGACTTCCAACCAAGGTTTCATTCTTAAAGGTGCCATTGTCATTACACCTTCAAAAGGCATTACAGTTATATAATTGGTCTATAGTCCATACAATGTAAGGTTTGGAAAGGTAAGTAGGTAACCCTTAGAAATTGGATTTAGAAAACCCTGCAGCTTTTCCATAAACTGATGGGGAATAACTAATCCACTTGGGACATCCATTTCCATTTTCCATTTTTTGCCGTTTTCTATCCTTAGGATATAGGCCTTTTTCAAATTTGACCATTGTCTTCGGTTTTGCGCAACTCGGTACCAATTTAAGCCTGCAACCTTCTTTATCTCGTCGTACCATCTTTGTTGGGGTCTTTCAACACTTCTCCTCTCTTCCCAAGGTCTCCATCTAGTGATGTACCCGCTCCAGTTTTCTGTATGTCTGGCCACGTGTCCTGCCCATTGCCATTTTAGGGAACAAATTCTTTTCATGATGTCGGAGACTTTGGTTCTTTCCCTTATCCATGTATTTGTTTTATGGTCTCTCAAGGAAATTCCTAAAATTCGTCTTTCAATGGCTCTCTGATGTACTTCCAATTTGTGTTTAATTTTTCTGGTAATCACCCAGGTCTCGCAACCATACGTGACGTAAGCCGCCCATCCCAGTCTAATTCTCCTATCAATTTCCATTTCTTGATTTTGTTTGCCCGGTGTTATAGCTTGGCCAAGGTATGTATGTATATTTCTGTCTTTTTTTTTTTTCATTGTGCTGTCATGGATCGGTATTGTTTCGTTTGCATCTGGTGTATAAACGGCTGAAATTAGTAGGACTTTTCTTTAATCCAAAAGGCATCTTTAAATATTTATATTGAGAATTATGAGTAACGAAACTAGTATACTTAATTGATTCTTTATGAACTGTGATATGATGAAAAGCATCTTTCAAATCGAGTTGAGTAAAGAACTTCTTATTTCACACATTTCATTCCACTTTCTATAATCCACGCACATTTTTAAACCTGGGAACTAAAACAATGGGAGAATTATACTCTGAATAACCTACTTTTCCTTATAATGGCCTTTTCGAGCAATTCATTTACTATTTTATTAACCTCATTTTTTCCATGAAAAGATAATCGTCTGGGTCTAAAGAAAAAGGGAGAATTATTGGGCTTAATCTTGATTGACATTTCAAATTTTTTCTCTGATTCATCAGGTCTAATAGCATTGACATATTCATTTACAAAAGTCTCCTTAAATTGAAATGCTTGCTTTGGCTCAAGCTCTGTGCTAATATCTAAGTCAAAATCTGGTGAAAACGGTAAATCTATCAAAGCAATATTATTCTCTACTTCCAACTCAGAACTCTGAGTAATAATAACTTTATCACAGAATGTAGGTAACATCCAGCTTGTTAGGAAATATAAATTTGTTATAAAAATTCCAAAGCTATTAAGAACCGAATTATTAATTCCATAAAATAAATTTCGAGAAATATGCCTGTCTATCAGATTTTCAGGCACAAGAGAAGAAATAATTATTGATATGGCACTACCTGATATCCAAAATTAGCGAAACACTTATCTGATTCTCTTGAGCTTCAATTTTGTAAGATAGAACTATTTCGAACTGAACTTCTACTAAGTTGGAGGAAGCCTCATCCTTTTTCAAATTATTTCCATTTGGGTTAGTTTGGGTTAGTTTGGGTTAGTTAGAGGATTTTCTGGGGCATGAAATTCGTTGTTGTTGTAAAGAACCACATATAAAACAAGAACCTTTTTCTCTCTTCGACTTTGTACAACAATATGACCGTCTTCAAGACAATTGTAACACTTGATGACATTTGGATAGCACCTTTATCATTACTTGGATATCTGAGTTGTTACACACTATTTTTATTACTTTGTATTGCCTGATGTTGTTTATGTGTTCCTTTATTTATATGTATTTATTCTTTTATCTTTATTCGTTCATTATTGATTCTATCATATGGGATTAGATCGTGATACAAGTTATCAATGTCTGTATGAGTTTCTGTTATGATCATCGTGGCAAGTTCTCGGGAAAATAGCCAAATAGCTATTTGCTCTTTCTGTTCGTCAAACATTAAACATAATTCTTTGCATAATTTAACCTTATCAATCAATCAATTCTTCTCTAGTTCCTTGTATTCTTGAATTCATAGCTTTCCATAAAGATGTCAAATTTTTCTCGTACCTAAACAAATGTATTATTAAATTCATCTTTAAACTTGTCTCACGTTAATGGACTGGTTCTTCTAGCTTCATACCAGCTGGCAGCAATACCAACTAAATATGTTCGCGCTATCTGGAGTTTAAATTCTGAAGTTCAATTGCGCAGCATTGCTGAACTTTCAATTCCTTCAATCCAAGATTAACTTTATACCAAATCAATAGGTACCATTAAAGATAGGTATTGTCTTAGAAAAATCAGGCATAACTGTATATGTTTGTATTAGACTTATTGGAGTTGTGATGAATGATGATAACATTCGGGTATAATAAAAATTCTCAAATTCTGTTGCGTCGCAATTTTCCAAGTCACTATTTCGTCGGTCTCTCATACTTCTTCCCAAAATATCAGCAGACCCACCAAGAATCCTATTCGTTATCTCTATTGTTCGGTACTTCTGGGAATTATCCCAGTTCTGAAAAAATTGTGGCTGATTCCTAACTTGAACGTTCTCGAAATTAATCAATCCAACATCACGTCCATTAATTTTTCCAATTTATTTCTATTTCTTCACAAAATAATAAACTCTTCCCTGACTCCTGACAACCATTTTCTAGCAATCCTGATACTGCAACCTACTACACTGTTTAATAATTCCCAAATTCTCCTCTAGGGTGTTTTTGACAACCTCAATGCTGACAACCACATGAAATAGGGATCTATTACAAGTTGGGAAATTAAGATCTACTACATTTATAATTTAAAAACACTGCAGATAATAAATCCTGAAAATTTCAAGTGATTTTGATGCCTCAAAGTATTTTCCAAGAACCTCCAAAGGTGATTTTACAATTTTTTTTACCATTAATGAGGAAAAAACTTCGTTACTCCATTTATGAGTTTTATAACTGGTGTGAGGACGGCAATTGGAAAAATTACTTGACAAAGAGAATCTAACAGACTGCTGGATTTTCAAAGCCAAAAACGGCTTGTAAGTATTTGTGACTAGAATTGATTTGTAGCTTATAAAAAAGGTAATTCACCCTGTAAATTTCATTCTTGCAGTATGTGTAGTTTGTAGTTTCAGAGGAATTTGGCAAAATTACCTAACCAAGAGAATCTTCAGGCTGCTGGATTTTCAAAGCCAAGAACAGCTTGTAAGTCATTGTGACTAGGCTTGATTTATAGCTTATAGGAAGGTTAATTTACCTTGAAAATATTGTTCTGGAAATATATGTTGTAGTTTTAGAGGAATTTGGAGAAATTACCTGACAAACAGTAAAGAGAATCTTCAGGCTGCTAGATTTTGAAAGCCAATTTTATATCAACTTCAAAGTTGTTTTATAATTGAAAAAACACTTCATTTAATAAATTCTGAAAGCTGCAAGTGGTTTTGATGGCTTTAAGTATTATTCAAAAAAAACTACCAAAAGTGCATTATTGATTAAAAAATCAAGTAATCATACCGCTGGTGAAAATTTCACGCACGAATCCATTTAAGTCCTTATCGAATAAACTACTCTTCGTATCTTCTTTTCCTTCGTTTTTTGTCTTTGCGTGCAAAACTGGACTATTACAAGCGTTTTAACAAAGAATTGTCGTATTTTCCAGTTTTTTATTTTTTCCCTTACGTATAAATTCAACCCCTTCTTTTGAGATAGGTCAGTATAGCTAATACAAGTACAAGTTGTGTACTTAAATTATTTTTGTGAGAGATAATAGACTTGTTTTAGTTTAAGTTTTCAAAATGTTTTGGGTAAGCGAGTACCATGATACCTATCTCTATTTTATCTATGTTTTTTGCTATTATTTCAGTTGATTTTCTAGTTGTTGTAAATGAGTAATGTTTACCTAAGTAGTAGGAAAATGCTTTAAAATTTTTATTCAAAAACTTACTGAAATGTTTTAGATACTACCTACATCCTACCAAACCGATTTTCTTGGATTTTAGTTGCTCCAACTCAAAATAATCGCACTTTAGAGATCATTTTTACTTTGATTGAAAATCATTTATGTTTCGAAAAGTTCAAGAACTATTTTCCTATAGATTTGACCACATGAAAACATTTGAATTGTTTTATTAAAGAACTACAACTAACAAAAGAAACCATTTTCACTCAGATTTTGTTCACACATTCCTTGTATCTTCATTTCAATTTTTAAAGCCTTTGAAAAACAACACTAGAAAACATTTTTCTTTTAATTTGACTAACTTGACACAAAGAAACCAATAAAAATAAACCATTTTTCTTTAGATTTTCATCATCTCCCTCTTCGCCTTAACCCATGCTGGCTCAGTACTGCCACTACAAACATCAGAAGTGGACGTCAGACAAGACCACAGCGGGTTCTCCTACAATCTCAAAGAAAACCGTGGAGTGGCTGCCATTGCAGAACCATTACCCTTGGTACAACCTTTAGTCAAAACCACCATCCACATCGAAGACAAACCTGCCGAAATACAACCGCAAACTCATCAGCAACATCAAAAAACTGAAGCTCGTGCACATTTGGCTTTGAAGGAACTCAGAAAACCTGAGGAATTGTTAATCAGTCAACCGATTTCAGCTTTGCCATTGGAATATTATGGGTATTATTATCCCTATTCGCTGCCAAGAGCTCAATTTATGCCTTCGCTTTACTCTATTCCTTCCATTCCGTATCCTTACACTTTAATTAGGACTGCTTGAGCGATTTAACTATGGAAAATAATTAGTATTTAGTTAATTGTAAGAAGAATTTTTTGGGCAAATTGTGATGGGCAAAAATAATAAAGAAATAGCTTAGTGGTTGAGTAGTTTTTATTGTCCTTTAATATACCTAATATGAATTCTTAAAACAATTATTATTCGGCTGTAATAAATGGATTCATTGTAGTTTTGCCAAACAAAAAAACAATTTCACCGTCATCTTTAGCTTCACTTGTATCAGTTGAACTATCAATGCCATCATGATTATCGGCCAAACTACCACCAATCACTCTAAACCCATTCAATTCATCAATTTCATAGCTCAAATCATGTCTCAGTCCATGATCGTCGCGATACTCAAAGTCGCCGGTAATATTACCATTCCGGTTGGAAGTTTCTTCGATTTTGTGCTTATCAGATTCGAATTTGAAGTAATACGAATGATTTTTGAGGCCTCTTCCGTATGGTAAGGAATATAGTTTGTCCAGGAAATCGTTGAGGAATTTGGAAAGCTTTTGTAATTCTTGCGGATAATGGATGGTAGTTGGTTGTGGTCCATTGTAGCCTAAAAATTGATATATAATATAACTTGGGAAGGATTTTTGATTGAAAAGAGGTGAAAAATTGCAAAAAATGTCGTTGAAATACATTTGAACTTGGAGTGTATATATCTTGGATGGATTTTGATCAAAATTTCATTGAAATGCACTTATTTTTAAGAAGATCTCTTTATATAATTAATAGAAAATAGGGATAGGGACCAAGTTCCTTGACTGTCTTCTCTCCAAAAATTAACTATGAATTTAGGATGAATACTTACTATTAGCCAAATTACCACCGGTAACAACAAATCCAGTAGTATCATTCGAAAAATAGCTCAAATCATGATAACCAGCGTCGTCTTCGTATTCAAAAATACCTCTAATATTACCAAAAGAATCAGATGATTCGCTTTTTCTATAATTTCCAGTGTCAAACGAAAAATTGTACGATCTATCGTTTAGCCCTTTTGAATATTGCCAATGGTTGGCGTATTTTGGCACGTCTATCAGGTGGTAAGGTGTTAAAAATGGGGTTGGTAAATGTTTTTGGTAGTTCCAGATGTTAGCGAACGGGAAAGGTTTTCTGGGTTGTGATTGGGGTCTGTTTGGTGGTTGTAGATTGGGATTCACTTAAAAAAAAAAACTTTATTAGTGGCTCTTCCAGTTGAAACTATAGTTTTGACTGGCCTCTCAACTAGAATTTTTTGTATCACTTACCATAAGTCGAGGTATGCCTGTCCTCACTTACTCCTTGAGGATAAGGATTATCTATAATATAAATAAGTTAAAAACAAAATTTTATAATTATTTACAATGTTATACCAGCATCGTCGTTAGGACCAAATTGTTGAGGCGAATACCCTTGCACTCCCGAAGTATACTTCAGACCGAAATTACCCAAATCGTCCCTGTAAAAATAGTGTCCCGAAACCTGATTTCTTTGATCGGCCTCTTGCCTGACCACCGCGTCGTCGGTCCGATATCCATATTTGTAATCGCCATTTTTGCCCAAGACGAAGTACTGATAAGCCGTACAAAGTGGAGTAAGCCAGGTCAATGTTTCTAGGTAAATTGTCGTAACCTGTATGAATAAAATGTAAGTTTGTTTACCATAAAACCATTAAATGTCATTGCAAGAGAAGACGTAGGTACATAGACAAATTGTCTTCGAAATTTCATGCAGGAATTAGGGAATTATGCTTGTGTAATGTATTGAGCTTTATTTAAGGCGAGAATGGTATAATACTCAACTTAAGGTAGATACACAATGTTAACAAAAATGCTCTTTGATTTGTAAGAAAATTAACTTCACTGTGTATGTTCCACACAACCGCAAAAAATTCCTAGTGCATTTGTCAGCTAATTAGATTAGAATTGATAATTATTGATCTACTATGATTATTAATTTGATTCTATAAACGTTGCATTTTTATGACTAATGATCTAAGCATTTTGTTATGCAGTTAGTTATTAGCTGATCTGTTGGATTATATTTGAAAAAATTAATCATTTTTCTCAAAAACTTCTAAGATTAGATGAAAAGATCAAACTTGAAGCATTGTTTATATATAGTTTGGAGCAAAGTTTTTCTAAATATACGATACAATTGAGCCTCAGAAAAAAAAATTTGAGCTACAAATAATGGGGTAAACAAAGTTAATTTGAAAAAAAAGTTTTGATTTACCAAACTGAAACTACGATCTTGTAATAATTTTAGCTCAAAATGAAATCTTAAAGTTTGTAAATGGTTAAATACATAAAATGCAAATAATAATATGGGTACTTATTTCTTGATTTTTAAATTTTACATAAAATATGTGTATCATAAAACATAAAATTATTGTCGCAATAAAAATATATTATACCTAAACTACTAAAAAAAGAGAGAGGCTTCTACTTACAAGAACAAGTTTTAAACAATACATCTTAAAACTGACCTTAATTAAAGGTACTGGTCTATTTTTATGCATGTCATCTTTTATACTATTGCATCTAATTGCATTTTGTTTATAATAATTTAAAAATTATACACCGTGATGTAAATAATAAAAGAGAATCTTTCTTGACTTTGGTATTATAGGTATTCTTGAGTAATCTTAGAATTATAGAGGCACCTGTCGTTATAAATTCATCACCCTATTAGGTCCGTTTCTGTTTTGGTGTTTTTCACTCAAAAGTCTTCGATTTTATGTCGTTGTTATTTTTTCGACTTTCAGACAATTCGAGAAAAAATTCAGATAAATAAATATAAAATAAGCAAAACATATCAAGAGGACAATAAGATAAAATGGATATACTCCCAAAAATGATAAAACAAGATCAAGAAATATTCCAACATAAATTGAAAGAGATAAAATGAGAGTTTTATCATAACCGCTCATGGAGACAACTGTCATCTTCTTAAGACCAAAGGAACTAAGAAGGAAGTATCATTATGAAAGAGTCACGTAGGTAACCTGGAGGACCATCGCTAGGAAACTATTCAATTGGGCGAAATTCACTGGCGATTGGGACAGCTACGCCCGATTGCTAACCGAATATAGCAAGGGAAAGCTTAAAGGGACTGTCAGAGAAGCGAGAAGCTTCTGCAAAAAAGTAGAATCTATTACACGTTATACGGCAACGTTAGGCAAAACAATTGCATAGCATGGATGAGGCGGAAGACAAGTCGATGAAAAAGATGATGTATTAGCTCATTTAGCAGCGTTAGGCCAATCAAATGTAGTGAAGAAAGTTGGAATTCTGATCAATGGGAAATTGATCGAAATGGAAATTGACTCAGGTGCTTCAAGGTCAGTAGCATGGAAGTTGAGAGTATTGTGACTAATCAATCAGTCTAGGTATAGTTGGAGAGATGCTTGCTGATATTTTCTATATTCAGTCAAAAATTTAAATTACCTTTGCTAGTTATAAATGCTGAGAAATGTTTTAACTCACTCCTGGGATGTGATTGGCTATCAAGTCCCTTATGTTACATGTAGGAAGAACATTTGTATCAACATGTGTCTCATATGTCTGTATTTGTCAAGTTTTTCTGCAGTATTTTCAGGTAATACGAATGAGTCTATAAGAAATTTTGAAGTAGATATCTTTAAGACTGAAAGAGAATTTTTGTTTAATTTTCGGAAAACCATACAACGTACCTCTACCCTACCTTATGCTTTGCATTAGAGGTGGGAACCTATCGATAGTGATTATCGATATATCGATAGTTTGCTACACTATCGCACTATCGATAGTTCTACTTGGACAATCGATAGCAGTTCTCCTGTCTTTTCTTATGTCAGCAATGTCAAGTGTCAAGAAATATCATACATTTCATCTATAGTTCCTAAAGTAAATAAAGTATGTTTTTTTTTTAAAGATAATGGGCTCTTTCACTAAAATTTAAATACATAATTTAAGTATAAAATCTCAAAGGAGGGACTATTTTAGGCATATATATATAATTTTAAACGCGCCGATTCGCCGACGTCACATAAATATTCTTCATTTTGCTTATGTTGTTACAAGGAGGACCGGCTCGGCTGTGTTTGCGCTCTGTAAAGATACGTAAAGGTTGGAATGCGCTGTTGTCGGCTGTGACTAAATGTAGTGCAGCGTAAAATAAATAAAGAACATGTTGGGCACTGGCTGGTCACTTTTCCATAAAATAAAGTAAACTTATTTCGAACAAAACAGCATTTATTATCATCATTTATATCAAAAATTTTCATAAATTCTCATACAATAGCTTCAAAAATAAAATCAAATTAGTTCTAATCATAAAATAGAAACAAAACTTCTTCGTGGTACTGAATATTAATGAGTACAAAAGAAAAATAATATTTTATGTTATCAAAACCTAATAGCTAATATTTTCATAAGAAAATAACTTCGAATCGAAATAGAAATTACAAATTTAAGGTCAAAGATGGGAAAACAATAGGACAAAATAAGGTAAGTAAAATAAGGTATAGTATAATGGTAAGTAGGTACTAAGGGAAATATTTATCATTCAGATTCAGCCTTCGACCATAATTTCATATGATCTGCATCTATTGTACCTTCATATGGAGTCTGTGTTACTTGAAAATCTGGAGGATCTATGACAATATATCTGTCATTTGACAAAACTTTCTTCACAACATAGGGACCTTTAAATTTGGGTATCAGCTTCTTGTTAACATTTGGGGTTGTGTCAAAATTCTTGATAACAACATAGTCTCCTTTTTGATATTTTTTGGCTTCTTTGTGCCTGTTGTCATAATATTCTTTGCTATTTTTCTGTGTCTTCTTGATTTCTTCTTCAGCTAGGGCTCTCATTGCTTCTAAATCTCTGTCATCTGTTTTAAAATTAAGTAAAACATCTCTAATTCTGTCACTTACTTGTCCGGCTTGCAGAACACCAAATAATAATTTACTGGGAATTTGCTTACTGCTTGAGTTTACACTATTGTTAAAAGCATATTCAGCTTCATGTAAAATTTTATCCCAAGTATTCGTTGACTCACATAGCTTGGCTAGCATAGGCGCTAAAGATCTATTAACAACTTCACACTGACCATTTGCTCTTGGTACACCGGTAGCAATTAATATAAGTTCAACATCATGATTATCCAGAAACCTTTTAAACTCAGCTGAAGAAAAACATGTTCCTCGGTCTGCTATAATTCTTTGTGGCCTACTGTACATAGAAAAATAATTTTTAAGATGTTTTATTGTTTCTTGACTAGTTGTGGATTTGCATGGAAATAATTTGACAAATTTTGTAAATGCATCAATTACTACTAGAACATGTCTGTGATATTCTTTAGATTTTTCTAGTGGTCCTAAGTGGTCTATATGTAAAGTATTAAACGGAGTGTTGCCCTTGTCAATATTATGTAAAAGACCTTCCTGTTTACCATATTTAGGGGAATAAACTATGCACTTCAAACAGTTTTCAATGTAGGCTTTTATTTTTTCCTTCATGTTTGGGAACCAATAGGTCTGTTTAATATAATCCATTACTTTCTCTACTCCTAAATGACCTAAATTTTCGTGACTAGTTCTAATGACATTTGATACCATTTCCTCTGGTACATAAAATAAAAGATCATCTTTATGTTTTCTATATACAAGCCCGTTCCTTAATTCATAAAAAGAAGACTCGGTTTCAAGTAATTGCTCTTTAATTTCTCCAATCTTTTTATCTTTTTCTTGTTTAAGGCCTAAAACTGGTTCAAAGGTATTTTCTTCTATGATTAAAACAGAGTGAACTCTACTCAACGCATCAACATGAGTCATTTTCTTATTGGGTCGGTGCTCAAGAGTATAATTAAAATTTTCTAAATACATGACCCAACGCAAAATGCGTGGAACAACATCCTTTTTATTTATTGTTAATTTGACACTATCGCAGTCAGTGACAATTTTAAATTTTAGACCATGCAGGTAAGTATAAAAACGTTTTAATGAGTTAATTATACATAAAAATTCTATTTCATATGAATGGTACCTTGACTCAGTGCTAGTTGTTCGTTTACTGAAGAAAAACACTGGATGCATAAGTCCATCCTTTTGCCTCTGAAGAATCATCGATCCATATCCTGTCATACATGCGTCGCAATGAAGCTCTGTCTCAGCAGTTGGTAAATATATGGAAAGTACTGGTTGTTCCAACAACTTGGATTTCAATGTTTCAAAAGCAAAAATTTCTTTTTCTTCAAATTTCCATTCAACAGTTTTTCTTATTAAATTGTATAACGGAGTGGCTATAATTGAAAAACCTTTTATAAATTTTCTAAAATATGATGCCAAACCTATAAAACGATGCAATTCTTGTTGATTTTTAGGGATTGGATACTTTCTGATAGCAGTTATATGTTCATCACTAGGCCTTATGCCCGTTACATCTATTTTATAACCAAGGTAGGTTATTTCATTTTGTAAAAAGAAACATTTATCTAATCTTAACTCCAATTTATTTGTTAACAATAATTCAAAAACTTTCTTTAGGATTTCTATGTTTTCATCAAAACTGGATGTAGGAATTAATATATCATCTATATAAATCAGGATTTTATTTTCTTCAATAAGGTCTTTAAAAATCAAATTTATGTACCTCATAAAAGCAGCAGGACAATTTTTTAAGCCGAATGGCATTTTCAAATATTCATATTGGCCCATAGGAGTCACAAATGAAGTATACTTAACAGAATCCGGATGAACAGTCACGTGATGGAAAGCACTCTTCAAGTCCAACAAGCTAAACCATTGTTTTTCTTTTAGATGTTCTAGGTGATCCTCAATAAGCGGTATAGGATAATTGTCTCGTAAAGTAATCTTATTTAGTTGCCTGTAGTCGATACACAGCCTCAGGGATTCTGAATTCTTCTTAGGTACTAGAACGACTGGGCTGCTGTACTCGGAGTTACTTTTCTGGATTATATTTTCTGCAAGTAGGTAGTTCATCAATAATTTTAGTTATTTCAATTTTTTCAAATTGGGAAAGGCGTCTAGGTCGGAAAAAGAAAGGATTATGGTTAGGAATAACAGAAATTTTAAATGTATATTTTACATCAGGCTTACTCGGTCTAATCGGTTTAACATATTTTTGATCAAAAATGGTTAAAAACTCCTGTTTATTTTTATAATCTAAATTAGGATTTAAATTAACTAAATCCATAATATTTTTTGTTTTATCTACATAACAAATATTCATAATTTCAGATACCTCTTCTTTTTTTATTTGTATTGTTTCACCAAAACTAATATTTAACTTATTATTTGCAATAAAATCACGACCTAACAAACTATCAAATCTCATTGTATTTTCTGGCACTACCGAAAAAATTACATCATACTTCCATCCATTATACAATAGCAAAGATTTAAATTTCCCAACAATTCTTAAATCAGAGTGATTAATACCTTGAAAATTTGTAGTAACTGTATTTTTATCAACTAAATGGCTAGGTACTAATGTATCTGAAATAAGAGACACAGGACTACCAGTATCTATAATTGGTGATATTTTTATAGGCTCTACATAATTATCAAATAAAAGTTCACCACAAATTTGGTAAGACGGTGCAACAGAATCTACTAAATTGGTTGTAAAATGACTTTTATTACTCACAGTTGTACCTGGGTCGGTATTCTGGTTCCCGAAAACGCTCACCGCTTTTAAGTCGCTCGGCATTTTTAATGTAAATTTACATTAGAAGTGCCGAGCGACTGAAAAGCGGTGTGCGTTTTCGAGGACCAGAATACCGGTCCTGGACAGTCTGCTACCTTATGCTGAAGGGACCCACAATTAAAAC